TGGGGCCAGGGCAGCTCCTGGGGCAGAGCAGGGAGTGCCCGTGTCCTACTTGGAGAAACAGGTAACAGAGGCACTCTGCTTCCCTGGTTTTGTGAATCTTTACACAGTTCAGCCTGGACCTGAGTTTGGAGATGACCACAAAACATGCCTTTTGGAGCAGAAGTTCTTAATTTTTTTCCCCAGTTTTAATTCTGTGGTCATGTCTCAGACATTGGCGAAAAGAAGAGCTGATATGATGGGGTTACAGTACTGGAGAGCTTTTGAAAAGGCCCAGGCAGCAGTGGGTGATGTTGGAGGGGAGCTGCTGGTCCCTGGGGCTGGCTGTGCAGGTTGGAGCTTGCTCTCTTTGGGGTCGTGCTGGGGGAGGAGGGACGGATGGCTCTGGGGCTGCGTTTGCAGCGGGTGTTAGTGTCGCTGGGGCTGCTCAGCGCTGAGCCCTCTGGCCTTGGGGTGTTTGCAGAACGGGAAGGTGGTGGACCCGCTCTGCCAGAGCGGTGTTTGCACAGGGAGCTCTGGGCCTGGCTGGTCTCAGGGCTGGGGGGGCTGTTGTCTGATGAGCCACTTAAGGACAACCTACTGCCCTGCAAAAACAGAGCCCTGTGTCCTCATTGACTGCTCCAAAGTGGATGGCAAAGGTTCTTCAGACTGGCTTTTCCTCCTGGAGGCTTAGCATCCTCCAGGATGCGGTGCTCCTGTGGCATTGGTTTTCCATCTTTTCCCTCTTTAGCAGCATCATCTAGGTGGAACAGGGTCCGACTAGCCTGGGGTGACCTGGAGCCACTGGTGGCTCTGCACCATGACGTGACAGGTCCGCTTTGCTCTCTTGGTGCCTCCTGATCCATGGGTGTCTGTAGGACAATGAAAACCCATTCCCTAAGAGCCAGCCCTTGATGTCACAAGGAAGGAGATGGGCCCATCTATCCTTCACCTTCATCTGTAGAGCCTCCCTGGCCTGAAAACAAGCCACACAGCAACAAGCCACGCTTCTCTGCAGAGATTGCTGTGCCCTGCGAACGGCATCTCCACGCACATCATCTGCTCAAGCACCCGTGAGATCCTGTCACCTTTTGGTCATCCCAGCTTTCAGCAAGGCCTCTGCTGTTGCTGCCAGTGTTTGTTTTCTGGGCACCACCAGTGTACCCAGCAGTCCAAAAACCACAGGAAGAGACACAGTCCCCCCTGGCACAGCTTAGCACAGGAGCAAACAACTTTCTCATCGGACCTCGCTGTGTGGGTCATGAAATAACCAGCCAGCAGTCGCCCGTGTTTTGTGCACAGGATATTCCCAGGGCTTGCTGTTTCGCCGGTGGAAGGTTTGCTCTGCGATTTAGAAGCTATTGTAGTCTGGAGCCCGTTTCCGAGGTACTTCCCCTCTGGGATCTCTGCTGGGTTTGGCTACGGACCAGCGCTCGAGGCCAGGGGCCAGGCAGAGCCGAGCTGGGCTGCGAGCCCTGTCGCTGAACCGTTTTGCCATAAACCCTGCAGAGGAGAGGCGCCTGGGGAAGGGAGCAGCAGTGCATCCCCCTGATCTGGGGTGGGGGAGCATCCACCCAAGGACCTGCCCACCCCCTGGGAGCATGTCTGCTACCCCAGCCAGGGAGATGAGAACAGCCCCCGGGGTTGGGTGGTCACTGAGCTCAAGGCATTGGAGATGTCGGGCTGAATCTGCTTGTTGTTGTTATTATCTCTTTGCTTTGCAGCGTCATGCAGAGCCACACTCATGTACCAGATGCTGTCGTGCTGGGTCCTGTGTGGAGGGGCATGTCTGCAGCGTGGGGTGGGGTCTGGGGGCCCTCCCTGTGATGTGGTGCCATTCTCTGGGAGGTCTTCATCTGATCTGTGGGCTACAGAGCCAACAGTCTCTCTGTGGTTGGTGTCTGCTGGGGTAACCAGGAGCTCTGCCTGGCCAGACTCCTTGCCTCTCATCTCCTCGCGCTCCTGGATGCCGTAGGGCTGGGGGTGCATCCCATGGAGCAAAAAGGACCTTTTCCTGCTACAATACCTGGGGCTCATGTTGGCTACTCTGGGTTCTCCTCTGTGATCCGTGCCCTGTGTTTTCCTCCTGCTCTCCCACGGACAGCGCTGGCGTGGGGTCCGGT